TTTTGCGATTGGTGGTGTACTTGAACAATTCCACGAGAACAATTGGACTCCACTTGGTTTTTTCTCCATGAAATTGAATAAGGCACAGCAAAATTACAGTGCCTACGACAGAGAACTTTTGGCTATGTATGAGGGTGTCAAATATTTCAAATATATGATTGAAGGTAGAGACTTCATGATTAGGACAGATCATAAACCTCTCACTTTCGCATTTCAACAAAATTCCCATAAAGCAACACCAAGACAACTTCGTCATCTCGATTTTATAGGCCAATTCACTACCCAAATCATACACATCTCTGGTGAACAGAACGTCGTAGCAGATGCACTCTCCCGTGTCGATGAGATTGAAGTCCTCCAAGTTATTAGTAACGAACAACTAGCCAAGGAACAAGAGCAAGACATTGAACTGAGTAAACTCATTGATTCAAAAACTTCTCTAATACTGAAGAGAATTGATGTCAATGGTTCAGATCTCTGGTGTGACGTCTCCGCAAATAGAATTCGACCATACATTCCAAAAGTTAGTCGATACTTGGTATTCAGAACATTCCACGATTTATCTCACCCAAGTGCAAGAGCAACAGCCCATACTATGAAGCAGAAAGTGGTTTGGCCAAGAATGAGCAAGAATATCGCGGAATGGTCGAGAACTTGTACTTCCTGTCAACGTTCGAAAGTTCATAGGCACATACGAAGCCCACCTGAGCATTTTCCTGTACCACAGCATCGATTCGAACATATCCATATAGACTTGATAGGTCCTCTACCTCCTGCTAAAAGTATGAGGTACTGTCTTACTATGGTCGATAGATTTTCTCGATGGCCTGAAGTTATCCCTATAGCTGATATCACAGCTGAAACAGTTGCTGAAGCGTTTTACCGTTCATGGGTTTCTAGATATGGATGTCCACTCACCATAACTACTGATCAGGGTAAACAATTCGAAGCTTCTCTGATGAAATCTTTATTGAAATTCCTAGGGATCAACCGCACACGTTCTTCACCATATAGGCCACAATCCAATGGTATTTTAGAGAGGTGGCACAGAACAATAAAGGCAGCAATCATGTGTCATGAACATGAATCTTGGATTGATTCTCTACCTGCTGTACTCCTTGGACTACGAACCAGCGTCAAAGAAGATATCAAGCTTTCTCCTGCTGAAATGTTGTATGGAACATCTCTAAGGATCCCAGGAGAATTTTTCATCGATTCTAAGGATACAGGAAACTCAACTGATTTCACTGAGAACCTCAGAGATTGTATCAGAAAGCTAAGACCTGTTCCTACGCAACATCATGGTAGAGCAAAAGTTTTTCTCCATCCAGAGTTGAGAGAAACATCCCATGTATTTATGAGAGTTGATCGAGTTCGTAAGTCTTTAGAACAACCCTATACCGGCCCCTACAAGGTGATTTCAAGATCAGCCAAAAATTTTATCATTGACGTTGAGGGACAACATAAAAACATCTCCATAGACAGGTTGAAGCCTGCTTTCATCGCACACCGTACTGATGAATTGTCTGTCGACAGTCGAAACTCCATTCATCTGGATTCCAGCGACAATGATGGGAAAAAGAAAAGCAAGAATGATCGAACGAACCTCTCAGTCCGATTTCGTGACTAAGAAAGAAACTGAGTCACTAGGAGGGGGGTACTATAGAGCTGTTTACTCATTTATATTTATATTATTCGCTTTGTATATTTTTGTAACTTGAAGTTGTTATGGACACATATTATTGTTAAAGAAAGACAAGAGATAATTCAATGTCTGAACAGTTTATTAAATAGATTATATATTGTGTAGTATTATAATTGCTACAAATAGAAGGAATCATAAAACACCATACATAAGGAATGGCAACCTTCTGAATATGGGTGAACGTAGATTCTTACACATTAGTTGTTTGATAATTACAGAGTTCTCAATAGTGAGTGCCCAACATACTTTTATCTAATTTACTAATCCGAAGGGGAGATATTCATGAACTCAACATTCGAAATTCAGGAAACCTATCGATTCCAAGGCATAACACGCGATTCTTCAAGAACTGCTTTAGTTACCAAGCACCACATATACAGGGTGATTCACGGTGGATGGCACATTAGACGTTTCTGGAGAACGCTAGTTATTCTGAAAAGCTGGTGTCTTGAAAAATTAGTTGTGCTTCATCGACCAAAAATATTCTCAACGTTGCGACGTTGCCGCTTATATTGAACAGTAGCAACAACTTTGATTTTTTCAATGGAACGCCCTGTATATCATTCCATTTTCAGTTTCTCCCTGAAGAGATGATTCCTTCGATGGGGTCTAGCGAGAATGATAACAAATATATAGGGTGTGAAAAATCGAAATTTTTCAACTTTAAGAATTTTTAGTGTCGAAACTATTCATGATTGATAAAAACGGTTTCCATGTCCCTATCTTAACTTTTCATGCACTATCAATTGATATTCAATTGAAATAGATACAGGGTGGTCAAAAATCTCAATTCTGAACCACCCTGTATTTATGTAAAAAAAAAACAAAATCAACGAAATAGTAAAATGCATGGTATTCTATTAAGAAATATATAAGTTTGTGTCGTATCTCCAAAATCAACTCCTCTCCTCTAACTGAGGAGCAACTGAGCAAAACGGTTTAAATCCATCGGATATCTGTTGGATTCATTATTATTTTTGGTTTGTACCTATAGCAATTGAAAAATCACTTTTTGGTGTCTTGATTTTCAAGAATATTACTTTGTTTTCGAGAAGCAAAGAGTTAAGACTAAGGGAACTTAAGGAACTTTTTTTCTTGAAAAGAATTGAGGAAAAAATTCAAGGGACTAATAAGTTTATCTTCCATTGGTTTGTCTAGGAAAATAACAGACTTGAAAAAATCTACCATTCCATAAATATATATGGAAACTTTTTCCTTATTTTATGGAAAGAACCTTCCATAGGCTTCTGTCTCCATTTTCAAAATATCTCGAGACTTTTCGGAGTTGCACCTTCAGGTGATTCCGCTTTTTTTTTCAAGTTAGTACTCACAGATTATGGTTGCATATACGACATCAGCAATCCTGGCAATCAAAATGATAACACAAAACAGTACCAACCAAAATGGAATGAGATGTACAAATATCCAAAATATGGTTAGTTTTCAAGAAACAGGGATTTGAAATTAACAAAAATCGGATTTTCATAATTATGCCAAAACACTTTATTCGATTCGAATGAAATTTTTACAGTACGTTGGACTCATTAGTATTTTAGGTTTGTGCAAAAAGAATAACCCAGTCGATTTTTCAGCTTTTCACTGTTCTTTAGATACCTATAGCATTTGAAAAAGTACTTTTTCTACAAACGTCGAAAAATGACAAGGTTCGCGCATTGATAACAAATTGCGAAGTGACACTTTTTTTCAGTTTCCTACGTTACCATGATAATTTGCACAAAACAATGCGCGAAGTGAAACAGTCCGCGAAGTATCTACTTTGCGCATTGTTATGTAAAATATATGAGATATTTATATTTCAACTTTATGGTCCTCAATCGAGCAAACATTCACGAAATCATTCATTTCTCAATGTTCAACAATAACTTTGTTTTATCTCCTGGAGCGCACGAAAGGAAATTCCTATTATGTTCGTGGAACATCGTGCGTACCTAGGGAGGATAGGGGGAGGCCTTTTAAGTCAGTTCAACACTATTTTTTTCATCAAGCTAAGCATATTTTTACTTTAGAACTATATTTTTTGACGTTTGTAGAAAAAATTTTGTTTGCAACTCGAGCGGGAAATACTTTGGTCATCTCGACTATTTTTCAATCAGATCTCGATCACCAAAGTAGCATTTCACGCTCTAGATACAAAAATTACTATTTTGGTGTCTTGATTTTCAAAGAATATCACTTTGTTTTCGAGGAATAAAGAGTTAAGATTAAGGGAACTTAAAACTTTTTTTCTCGAAAAGAATCAAGCTGGGAAAAAATTCAAGGGACTAATAAGTTTATCCTCTATTGGTCTATTAAGAAAATAACAAACTTGAAAAAATGTACCAAGTTTTATATCTCCTGCGCAAAATTGTAACATCTCGTATCTTGAGAACAAACCATTTCCTAAATGTATACGGAAACATTTTCCTAATTTTATTTATTTTTCATGTTCTGGTTCTCACGAGAAGGGATATCCTGTAATGTTCAGAGAACATCGTGAGAACCAAGGGAAAGAAGGTAGGAATTGGTGTTCTTAAATTTCTGGAGGTTATATATGCCTCGGAGAACACGACCTCCCATGGCAATGTGTTCCAGAGCATCGCTGTTCGTTGGATGAACGAGTCTTTGGAAAGAGATGTTCTGCAGGTCTCCAAAGTGACCACGAAGGGGTGCGAAGCCTCAACTCGACGGGTTAATCTCGAGGGAACTGCCAAGGGAGGAACAATTGTTAATATTTCAGAAGAGCATCGTCCATGAAAATATCTATAAAATAGAGCCAGATCGCCAACTTTTCTACGGTGTTCCAGAGAGGTGAGTGAGTTTGTGAGCGAGGCATCACCCACGAGACGAATTGCCCCTTTTTTTGGACAGAATTCAACAGTCTCAGGTTATGTTTGGGTGCTGCACTTCATATATGGGAACAGTGTCCCAGGACAGGTCGAATCTGTGCCTTATGGATCATAAGCAGCTGACTGGAAGTGAAATAGGTCCTGGCCCCAAAACAGAAAACCAAGTTTTTGGGGTGCACTTTTAGCAATTGATCTCACGTGATTTTCCCAAGAAAGGTTTTTGCTGATAGTAATACCAAGCATCGAAATGGATGTCTTCAAAGGTATGGTTACTCCTGAAAAGCTTATGTTGGGCACAGTGAGATCGGCTTTTCTAGAGAAAAGGCATGCTTGTGTTGTGTTTGCATTGAAATCTACCTCCCCATTCGAGAATTGTTACCAAGTCCATATTGTCTCGAGACTCTCGGAGTTGCACCTTCAGGTGGTTTCGCATTTAAGTTGGTACTCACAGATTATGGTTGCATACGACATCAGCAATCCTGGCAATCAAAATGATAACACAAACGATGGTACCGACTATCGAACACATTTCTCACGAACTAATTACCTACTTGCAATATAGGACTGCGTCCTCTAACACATGTTTCTAATCGAATTATCGTATTAAAGTTAAAGGATCAGTTTCATTCGAGCAGTAGCACGAAACGGTCTTTGATTGCATTATATCACCAGGATATTGATTCAACCTCATTTATTCTATGCTTCTAACACGATGAAAGTATAGTTCATACACCTTGTGTATATAAAGGAACAAATGAATATTGAATAAGCTTTTTCATTCGATTTCAAAAAACGAAAGAACAAACTCAATGGTGTGGATGTCGATTTTTTCAATATAAATCAGGGCATGAAATAGTCAGTTTTTATTTTTCAGATGGAAAGTACAGGGTGTGTTTAATTTGCGGGCTGGAATAAAATGCTGATGCGGACTGGCTATTTCCAGCAAACAAAGCGTTGTTTTCAATGCATATCTGGGTTCAGCTTATCGAACTACACGATAAAAAGTTTTTTGATTTTTTTTCACTGACCCCCCTGGGGAGCACTTTACTCGTGTGTTTTTTCATAAAATCTTGCGGACGGGGTATTTTTGCAAATCAACTCACCTCAATTTTACTAAAAATCGATAATACACGATGAGAAGTTTTAGAATTTTTTTTCTAGCCCCCCTGGGAGCACTTTACTGGTGTGTTTTTTTATAAAATCTTGCGAACTGGGTATTTTTGCGAGTAAAATCAACTAAATTTTTTCAAAAATCAATTCATCTTATAAAACTACACGATGGAAAGTTTCTGACATTTTTCCCTAGCCCTCCTGGGAGCACTTTTCTCTCGTGTTTTTTCATAAAATCTTGGGGACTGGGTATTTTTACCAGTCAAATCAACTCAATTTTACTAAAAATCAATTTATCTCATGAAAATACACGATGAGAAGTTTTTGAAATTTTCCCTAGCTCCCCTGAGGAGCACTCTCGTGTGTTTTTTCATGAAATCTTGCGTACTGGGTATTTTTAACAGTCAGATCATCTCAATTTTCTCAAAAATCGATTTTTCTCCTGAAAATACACGAAGAAAAGTTTTTGAAATGTTTCCTTTGTCCCCCTGAGGAGCACTTTACTCGTGTGTTTTTGCTCAGAATAATTCGGAATGAGTAATTTTGCAAGTCGAATCGACTCAATTTCTTGAATGTTATCCCTAGCCTCCCTGGAGAGCACTTCGTGTGTGCTTTTCCATAAAATCTTGTGAACTGGGTATTTCTGCAAGATTTTATGAAAAAACACACGAGTCAAGTGATCCCCAAGGGGCTAGGGAAAAATTTCAAAAACTTCTAATCGTGTATTTTCATGAGATAAATCGATGTTTGATAAGATTGAGCTGATTTGACTTGCAAAAATACCCAGTCTGCCAGATTTTATGAAGAAAAATGAAAAATGGTCCCTTTGTTGCCTTCTCCACACTATGAATTATACAAAGGAAGAGTAGATTGGAATGGTGTATGCTTTGGGTGCTGGTGAAGAAAATTGCTTGTTGGCTTCCCGTATGTATGCTGCAAATATCCTGATAGAAGGCATCCACAAGGGAAAAGTTTTGAAACATTAAAGGAAAGATTCGAGAGAACAGGACACATCGAATACAATGAAAAGAATCTCGCTAAAACAATATTAAGTGATGAAAACCAATTAGCTATTAGTCTTGCAGTGGTAGAGAATCCTGACTTGAATGTAAGGAAAATATGCAGAGATTTAGAGATATCGAAATCTTCAGGTGCCAGGAGTTTGAAATCTAACAAATTTCACCCTTATCATGTGCAACTGCACCATGAGTTGATAGACGCCGATTTTATGAAAAGTGTGCAGTTTCTTCGGACGATGCAGAATAAAATTACGGGAAATGCAAGATTTTCAGAAAAGCATTATATTTACCGACGAAAGTACCTTCCACCCCAGGCAGCACAGAATATTTTATGAATATTCAATTTGACATATTCTCAGAATATTCTTTCTGTATGTTCTGAGAATATTCATTTTGAATATTCTGAGAATATTCAGAATCGTATCAAAATAAATGCCGCAATGCTGATTATCCCACTAATTCAGTGTTGTCATCTTGATATTCATTTTATTCATTAGTAAGGTTTGTGGCGAAGTGGTGAAGGGTTTCAGGTTCGTGAAAATTCAATCACAAGATACTATAGGTTCGCATCTCCACCGGAGCAAGCTCTTTTAATTTTCTTCATTCTCCTTCAATACTACGCTAGGAATATTCTTAGAATATTTGAAACAGTTCCATTCCGAATGTTCATGAAACATCCCTACAATATTTGTATCATATTGTGAGAATATTCTGAGAACATTCAAATATTCTCGAAGAATATTCTATGAACGTTCTATGAATGACATTGTGCTATCTGGGACAGGAATGGATTCGTTAATAGGCACAACTATCATTATTATAGTACCGAAAATCCGCATAAACTTCATGTAAACGATTATCAACATAAATGGAGCCTTAATAATGTATGGGGCGGTATTATGGATAATTATGTTATCGGACCATATTTTTACGAACAAAGACTGAATGGACAAGAGTTACCTAATCAAATAAAAAATGGGGAACCAGCACATTTTCTGAGAGGAATTCGAGAGGAGTTGATAATGTTTTCTGATGAGTGGATAGGACGAGGAGCTTCTATTCCTTGGCCGCCTAGGTTGCCGGACCTGACATCAATGGATTTTTATCTTTGGGGAACAGTAGAATCGGAGGTTTATCGTACTGCTGCTTCTACACGGGAGGACATGAAAAGGAGAATTCGTGAGGCATTTCAACGAATTATGTTTTTTCATCTGAGCAGCGTGAGAACAAACTTCATGAAGATTTTGAGAAAATGTATTGAACAGGGTGGAAGACATGTATTATTGTGTCATTATTGTCGCTCCTTTTGTTTTGAAATTCAAATACTAGGAAGGTATTTCTTGCAATTTCCTAAGAATAATTTGAAAAACACAAATAATCAAGGAACTGTTAGGAATAACATATAACATATTGGTATTCTCAGATAGGTTAGTTCATGTAGAAAGAGAAGACGAACTGATATACAAGGTGTTCCATTTGAAAAAATTGCATAAACTTGAATCGAAGTGGACGAAAATGAAAGAACTAGTTGAAGCACCCTGTATGAATATCGATGAAGATCAGAGTATTACACGCTACTTTGGTATTCTTCACGTCAATCCACCAGACAAAATTCAGATCTTCGAAGAAACACGACCCCATTCACAGATATTTCATTCAGAGCCTGCATCACTCTCTTTTTTTTTTTCGAAAAAATTGATAATCTGGCAACGGCGCATCGTGGCGAAAAAAAATTCAGTGCTGAGTAGGCAACGAAGGGACCATTTTAATGACATAAAAATAAACGGGTTGTTCTATTTGAGAAATACATATTTTTTGTTATTACGGAAAAGTGCTACACCCTGTGAATCAGAAACTCTTTTTAAAATGTGGCCTTCGTGGTGCCATGAAACTTTTATATGATTTTTTTTTCAATATTACAGCATTATATCGAGATATCGAGCAAATACGCACTGTTGGGACACCCGGTATATTTATATATGTGACGTTGTACATATAAAGTTTCCTTATATCCAAGACTGCAGCTTCATGAAACAGAAGAAGTCGTAGGAAATATGTGAGATTTTTATTGAAAAGAATCGATGTGATGAATCAATCGGCATTCGGACATAATATATTGCTTGTTGTATACTGTTAATCAACAAGTGTTCTTCAGAGTAATAGGTTGAGCATCTGCCTGGTGATCATTTAGAACATCACCTGGGCTAGAGATTCCACCACGAGACAGGTCAGCATAGACTCCAACAAGGACGAACTCCCGGAGGAGATCCTAGAGCTCATCACAGAAAAGAGATTCCTGAGACGCCACTGGCAACAGCTCAAAACGCTGGCAGCCAGGGGCGCCTTCAGGAGGATCTGCAATCAGATAGAGTGCGAAATGCGAGAGCACAGGAACTCCTGCTGGAGAGCCAAGTTGAAGAGTCTGGACCCTCGCGACAATACTCTCTGGAAAATGACCAAAAGATTGAAAAAACAGTTCACTCCCATCCCAACCCTAGAGTATGGTCGCGAGGAAGCGGTCTCAGATCCGGAGAAGGCGGTATTGCTTGGGAGGCACTTCCAAAGGATATCCAAAATTAATAAAGAGCCAGTGGGGTAGGTCCAGGAGGACATGGTGGCAACAGCCGCACGAATGAGAGCACAGCCCACCATCCCGCTCTCGAGACAAGCCCTGGGGCAGAGTATTACATTCCCAAAAGAAATCTTCGAAATCATTAAATATCTGAACATCAATAAAGCCCCAGGGCTTGATGGTCTGGACATGGTTCTCCTAAAAAACATGTCACGCAAAGCAGTAGTGCAATTACACTACGTCATCAACGCTCTCATAAGATGCCAGCACTACCCAGAATGCCTGAAAACTGGGCTTGTTGTACCCATCCCGAAACAGGGCAAAAACCTGAAATCCACAAATGGCTACCGCCCCATATCTCTGCTTAGTGCCGTAGCCAAGATCGTGGATAGAGTCCTCTTACGACTAATATCTCGAGAGATCAATATACTGGACCTTATACCAAAGGAGCAGTTCGGGTTCCGCAAGGGACACAGCACTGTGTCCCAATCCAGGTAGCAGAGTGACGTCCAATTGACTTCATTTTTTGGTCATAAAATGACGAAGTGGACGTCCAGAAATGACGTCTGAGAGACCCTATAATGACGTCAAAATGTCACAGCCATATGACGTCATACTTAGACGTCATAATGACGTCGCAGAATGACCAATAAAGGACGAATTAAAAAAAATTAGGAGTTTATATATATACGGTATTATTGGTACATGATAATACACCACAAACCTCTGATGACATTCATTTTGTAACTATACGTTGTGGTAACTTGGTTGATGGTCCTCCCGGGCAGTCCTGTTGAATCCTAGCGCTATCGCTACTACCTA